AGCAATTTCAGCATTAAGAATCTCAATCGTATGATCCTTCTCATCAAGCACAATAGAACAGGTTTGAAGTTTCTTAGCAAATTTGTAAGCAGCATATTCTAGTTAATCATAACTAAGCTTTTCTTCATTATCATCATCAGATTCATTAATATCAAAACTTGCATTACGAGCAATAAAAGCTAGATCAACAACTTGCTTACCTTTGCTCTCATCTTCATCTTCCGATTCATCAAAAACTTTTATGAGTTCTTGGATTAACCACTGCATACAATGCTTCTTCTTCTCCTTCTCTTTCATGTTCTTCTTCTTGTTCATGTCATCATCTTTGATTCTACCATCATCTTCCTTCTTTCCTCTCCCAAGCTTAGGACAATGCGAGCGAAGATGATCAAGTACTCCACACTCAAAACAACGATTCGGTTCTCCTCTTTTCCTGTTCCTAACATTTTTCATAGCTCGAGAAAATTTGTTAGATAACAAAACCAAGTCCTCCTCCTCGAACTGTTCGAGTTGATCATCGGACATGGCATTAAATAAAGCAAGAACAGAAGACGTTGATGAAGAAGCACCAACATCCAAAGAACTCAAAGACGAAACCAATGCATTAGACTTAGAATCGACTTTACAAGCAAGAATATTCATCTCATGAGTTTTCAATTTTGTGTAAAGCGAATCCAAACTCAAAGTAGACATGTTAACAGACTCCTGAATAGATGTAACTTTCATCTCCCAAATAGACATGTCAAGACCATTCAAAAAGTGACGAGAAATCTCAGATTGTGGATAATTAGCATCATAAGAAGAATCAACAGATCTAAGATCATTCAAAATTTTATTAAACCTAGAAAGATAGTCATCCAAAGCTTCTCCAGGTTTCATCTCAAATTTAATATATTCCTTTTTGAAAAGATCACGACGAAGTTTTTTAATGTTATTTGTTCCCTGATGAAAATTACTCAAAGCAATCCAAATCTCATGGGCAGTTTGAAGATGAGCAACACGATCATAATCCGAACAAGAAATCCCACTCAAAAGAATATTGCGAGCTTTGCAATTTTGTTCAAAAACAGTTTTTTCAGCAGCAGTATTAATAGCTTCAGGAATCACATAAGGATGAGAAACTTTTCTTCAAATATCATAATCTTCAGCCATAATGTAAGATTGCATCCTACTACACCAATGAGAAAAATCCGTTCCATCGAAAACATGCGGCTTAGTTGAAAACCTAGCGGGAGTAGTCATGGCAAAAACTCTAGATCGATAAAAATCCAAAGAAGAAAACAAGGCTCTGATACCACTTGTAGGATCGAAACACAAGAACTAAGCCAACCAGAGGGGGGTGAATGGTTGGTATACCCAAAAACCAAAAACTTTTAGCGGAAATAAAAGTTACCCTCGAAGTCGATGGATTGCGGTCTGACCGAAGGTGTTGAGCCGGTCTGACCACCTGATGTACGTCGGTCTGACCGATGTAGATCGATCGGTCGAACCGCCGAGATCGTCTGCTGCCGACTGAAGCCGCCCCCGGTCTGACCGCCCTTACGCCGCCGGTCTGACCGCCGCCTTGTCGCCGGTCTGACCGTCGAAACCCGGTGAAACACAAATTGAAGAACTCTCAAAGTAGATGACAACTTTATTACTTCTCTCTATGTTTACAAAGTGCAACAACAGCACTCCTTACAAAAATCTCGACTAAACTCGAAACCCTAACTAAACTATCAACTCCATGCTTTGAAAAGCGATACAAAAGCGATACCGGGAAGCCTCACGCTCCCCCTCTATTTATACATAAGGTAGGTAGCCTATAGCCATGAACCAAACTCATACTAAGAGTCCTAAACACCTTAGGAAACCCTCTAGTATAAGAAAGAAACTTTACATAACCAATCGTACCAAATTTGGACTCTTTCCAAATTCGACTCCGCATCCCATACGCACACAATACCTCCATCGTATGCCATATGGAATCTTCACCAACCACGTGTATCAACTCTAGCCTTAGTATCCCGCATGATATCTGACCACCACGGACATCGTCTTACCACCAAGCCGACTCCCGGTCCATCACCGCAAATACTCTTCCGAGGCATCGAGTCACCTATACATGAAACAAACAAAGAAACCATATTCCGAGACCAAGCTATCCCCAACTTGACTCATTAGTAACAAACAACAGTATTACATACGTATAGTATCCATCTAGAAGCCATAACCATGAAACAATCACGGATATCCAAAGAAACAATCCGAAACCGAAACCGACACAGCGTCAGCCGGTCAGACCGTGGGCCTGGCCGGTCTGACCGCACACATAGCACCGGTCTGACCGGCAACCTCCGCCCGGTCGGACCGGACACATAAAATAACAGTGAATCCGATCATCACCTGAAAATTGATTATCTCCAGAACCACTTCGACGATAATCTCCAAATATCAAAACCAATAATCACAGATGCCAATTGTTCATCACAGAATAAGAATCAAAACACACATTGATCTTACAAATTGTAATATATATGATTGTTACTAGCTGGCCATGCTGAAACGAGATAGATGTACAGTACTTGATTGCTTCCAGTAAATTGATAAAATCCAAGCATACATGCGGTACCCTGTAATATCTATATATCGATCTGAGTATAGCTGCTGGCTGAACAACCAAGGGAATAGCGACCGAGTACCTGCTGCATGCATATATGAGATCGAGCTGGCCTTTTTGTAGTACAGTATTAATTTGTTGCCTTGGAAGCAACAGATCGATTCATCTGTAGTATTGTATACACAGCTGCTTGCTGGCTATAGCAACAAGAGGCACGCGCGTACGACGTCCGTCCATGGATGGATGACGACATATCTTCAATTGCATGCATTCATCCATCCATCGATTTGTTTTCCTTCCAAGCTACGGCGGCCCGCGCCTAAACAACTAACATCGTATCTGTCTATCTATCTCTCGATCGACACCAAACCAAACGAGATATATAATCTTTTCTAGGAGTACTTTATATACTCCCTCCATTTCAAAATGTTTAACACCGTTGACTTTTTAGCACATGTTTGACCGTTCGTCTTATTCAAAAAAAATTTGTGAAATATGTAAAATTATATGTGCACATGAAAGTATATTTAACAATAAATCAAATGATATGAAAAGAATAAATAATTACTTAAATTTTTAAATAAGATGAATGGTCAAACATATACTAAAAAGTAACAATAAATCAAATGATATGAAAAGAATAAATAATTACTTAAATTTTTAAATAAGATGAATGGTCAAACATATATCAAAAATTTAACGATGTCAAATATTTTAAAACGGAGGAAGTATATATCAACAGCGAGACATATATACTACTAGCTATATACGAATGAATATATGCAGAGATCAACAAGAGGGCATATATATGCATAGTCGTAGTAGGTAGCCATCGATCGATCAGTCTCTCTCATATCAGGTAAGGTTAAGTTGCAGGCAGGGCAGGGTATGTAGGCCCGGCCAGGGATTCCTACGTACATACTACGTAACGTACGCATGCATCTTATTCATATATGTACACTCCTATTACTACACATGCACCTCCGGAAATTAACTACTGAGATAGATAGCTAGCACCAAGCCACCAACTACCACAGACTTTTTAAATAATGGACTGTCTATTACACATCTCATATAAAATATCTCTTAAAATCTTATAATTTTTAAACCGTTAAATCACATTAAGATTCGTGCAGACACTCAAACCCTAATCTATTCCTCCTCTTTTTCGTTTTCCCTCAGCACCACACCCCAGAACCTTTCGATACCCTACTCGGTTAATCTCCGTTGTCGCTGCCTCCTTTGCCGCCATCACCTAATGCCCCGTCGCCTAGCCTCGCCGGTTGGTTGGAAGGTGGTTGACGGTGTTGGCGAGACCCACCTGACTAGCCTCCTCTCCCCCTCTACTTCTCCTCAAGTTGTCGGTGGTAAGGTGCCCCGCCTCATCGTCCTTCACATCACTATCAGCTCCCCGCCACCTGATCCGCTCCTATCGGCCATCACCGCCTAACCCGCCGCTCCATTTTGCCCCTCTGCCAACATCGGCCCACCGTTGACTGTTGACCCTACGTCTTTGGTAGTGGCAACGCCACCTTGCCGCCTGCCAGTTCCACCTCCTACGTCCATAATTCTAAGCCCAACCATCTTCTCCTTCTTCTCCCTCCCTCTTCCCCACCCATACCCCAATACGGAACCTTAATGTGTAGACCCTCTGCTAGATTTAATTTTAGGGTGCTATCGACACTGAAGAAGAAGAGTAGGTCGTCAGAGTTGAAGGAAAAGGACCTAAATCATAAATCACAAAGCATATTTGTTGATCTAAATTCTATAAAATTTAGGGATGGGTTTTCTTTCGATTGAAGGTTGGCAATTCCGTACGTTTTAACAATCACATCTACACACATCTTGTTGCAGTCGCATCTTCTGCTGGGGCACGCATGCATCGCAATATTATAGTTGCCTTGCCGGCAGCCTTTGCAACCTATAACTGCATGCCTGCCATCCATCTACTTCCACTGTAAACGTACGTTTCATTTCTCGGACGACATCTCAACTAACGAAAGGGATTATGTGTTCTACTGTGCTAGCTGGAGTAGCTGCTAGATCGACCAGAAAAAGTGTAGGGAAGCAGCCACGCACATGCATTTTCTGCGTAGTACGTACGTACTACTAGCTATGTTATCTTAGTTTGCACTGTTCGTCATCTTTATTAATTAATTCCTGCAAAGGAATCGGAAAACTTAATTATGTATGTAATCTCTCCCGGCCCCACCTAATTTTTTCTGATGCTAGCTACTATGGTAGTTTGCATGTATGCAACGTGAAAAATAACAGCGTGTAGGGTAACTTTCCATGACACAGCTGCAGAGCTGCTAGCGTCGACAGAGCTAATTAATTAAGAGTTCAATTAGCTGGGCTGTCATGGAATGGGCGCACACAAGTGTATATATAAGAAGCAGCTTCCATCCATCTATCTCTCACACTGATCCAGGCTCTCTCCACTACTATATGCAAGTTAAGTTAGTGCACTGAAGGAGAGCCTGAGATACGTCGTCGTACACACTTGATTAATTAATGGCGTGGAGGAACAGCGGGCGGGTGAAGGTGATGAACAGGAGGAGCAGCAGGATGGCAGTCATGGCAGCCGCCGTGCTGGCCGTGTGCAGCTTTGCGGCGGTGACCATGGCCCAGCTGGAGATGGACTTCTACAGCAAGACGTGCCCGAACGTCGAGGAGATCGTCCGGCGGGAGATGGAGGAGATCCTCCGGGTGGCGCCGACGCTCGCCGGCCCGCTCCTCCGCCTCCATTTCCACGACTGCTTCGTCAGGGTACTGTCTCATGCATCTCATCGATCGATCGATCATATCGCTAGCTAGCTTGCTTTAATTTAATTACTCCTGCAGGGGTGCGACGCGTCGGTGCTGATTGACTCGACGGCCGGCAACGTGGCGGAGAAGGACGCCAAGCCCAACCTCACTCTCCGCGGCTTCGGGGCGGTGCAGCGGGTCAAGGACAAGCTCAACGCCGCCTGCCCGGCCACCGTCTCCTGCGCCGACGTCCTCGCCCTCATGGCCCGTGACGCCGTCGTCCTCGCCAACGGGCCCTCCTGGCCCGTCTCGCTCGGCCGCCGCGACGGCCGCCTCTCCATCGCCAACGACACCAACCAGCTGCCGCCCCCCACCGCCAACTTCACCCAGCTCTCCCAGATGTTCGCCGCCAAAGGCCTCGACGCCAAGGACCTCGTCGTCCTCTCCGGCGGCCACACGCTCGGCACGGCGCACTGCGCGCTCTTCTCCGACCGCCTCTACAACTTCACCGGCCTGGTGAACGACGGCGACGTGGACCCGGCGCTGGACGCGGCGTACATGGCGAAGCTCAAGGCCAAGTGCCGGAGCCTGAGCGACAACACCACCCTGTCGGAGATGGACCCCGGCAGCTTCCTCACCTTCGACGCCAGCTACTACCGGCTGGTGGCCAAGCGCCGCGGCATCTTCCACTCCGACTCCGCGCTGCTCACCGATCCCGTCACCAGGGCCTACGTCGAGCGCCAGGCCACCGGCCACTTCGCCGACGACTTCTTCCGCGACTTCGCCGACTCCATGGTGAAGATGAGCACCATTGACGTGCTCACCGGGGCGCAGGGCGAGATCAGGAACAAGTGCTACGCCATCAACATATAATAAAGTAACTGCATCTGCATGCATGCGCACTAATCAAAGGTTCGATTTATTTGGTTTCTTCCGTCAATTTTTTTTAATTGGTTTCAGTTTATTTGCAAAAAAGATCGTGTTAATTTGGTTTGGGTACAGTACAGATGAACGAATCCATCACTGCGTACTATGTATATGTGTGTAACTGATGTACTATGTACGTAGATTGCATGCCAATGGGTTTCTTGTTTTGCTACTTTTTAATTTGTTTTTTGGGGTGCGTGGCATCTATGTTCAACTCTTGTGAATTCATTCATGATATATGTAATAAGTTCAAACGAGACAATAACTAAAATATACTCTCTTTCACAATTTATCACTAGTAACTGTTGACTTGAATGTTTTTGCACCCAATCTAGGTATATATACATCATGCCTGCATTGATATATACTCCCTCCGTCCCAGAATATAGAGAGTTTTAGAGTTAGACACAATTATTAAAAAAGTAGATATAATTAAATATGAAGGGGTTGTTATTTGTTGAGAAGTGAAGATAGGTGGGAAAAGTGAATGTTGGAGGGTTATGATTGGTTGGGAAAAAAATGTTGGTGGAGAAGTTGTTATATTTTAGGACAAATTCTAGATACTAAAAATTGTTATATTTTGGGACGGAGGGAGTACATGCCATTCTTATGTACTGTGTTTTTCATAGGCATTTTGGAAATGGACATTCTGATTATATCGATGATGGGCTCAATTCAGCCCGTTACTTGATTAGCAAAGGAGCCCATGCATGGTCCAAACAGGCCTTAAGCCATGACTCTATTCGTCTGTCTTGTTTATTTGGGCCTAAACTAGCTCAGCCCCTGTCTGCTGCTACGAATCTCATGGCATTTGACCTGGTTCCGTGTTTCCTCCGAACGAGGCTATCAGTCCATTCTTCGACTGTACAATGACACCAACTACTCCCTTCGATCCCAACTATAAATGTTTATAGGATTCAAATTTTCTACGCAATATAAACTTTTTTAGAACATCGACCAACTAATCAGGCGCTAAGAAGAATTTGAGAATTTAAGAATTTCAAAATTCAAATTTTATGTAATGAGTTGACTGAAAGGGAATATTTTCCCTACCTTTAATCTTTGGTAAATGACTTAAGAGAATACTTATATTTAAGAGCGGTAGGAGTAATTACTAGCTTGTATGCTTTTGAAAAACACATACCATTTAAGATATTTACTTTGGTTCAACAAAAGGTATCTCGAGGTACCGGCCGGTACCTCATGGTACCAAATCGTTTCCGATCGTTGGAGCTAGCTGGGCAGGATGAGCATTGTTAAATCGAACGATCAGAAACGATTTGGTATCGTGAGTTACCGCTACCTCGAACTACTTTTTATTGGATCAGAGCAAATCTCCACCATTTAATGGTTTAAAAAACGTGCGAACGGAAAACTAGCAAAGTTTTATAAGTTGAAGAAAAAAAAGGGTAAGAGTGATAAAAAAAACCGTGAGCCGATACACAAAGATTTATACTATCATGATATCATCCTTATAGCAGGTACAATAGCAGGCTATAAGCTAGCTATAACCACACAAATCAAGAAGAAAAAAGAAGAAAGCGGGCTACAGATTTATAGCCAGCTGCAACACGGACTCGAAGACGTTATGAGTGTACGAGAGGTGGGACCGGGTATTAATTGTGTAGTATATTTTTTAGGAAAAAGTACAAATTACCCCCCCCCCCCGAACTATGACGACAGTATGAATTACCCCCCTAAACCACAAAACCAGACATTTTATACCCTGAACTATCTGTACCAGACGAATAACCACCCTCAACCCAATCCAATGCGATATCGTCCTACGTGGCGTCCGCGTGGCAATCCAGTCAGCAATTTTTTTTAAAAAAGGTGGGTCCACCTGTCATACTCTCACAAATCTCTCTTCCCCTCTTCTCTCAATCTCTCTCTGTCACTGTCTCAGATGTCGTTGGGAGCAACGAGTTGGTGGCCGGCGATGGGCGCGCGGCCGTGTCGGCCGGCGCGGCGGGTGGCGGGGGTGCGGCTGGCGGGCGTGGCGGGGTGTGGCGGGGCGTGGTGGGGGCGGGGCAGGCGGCGAGCGTGGCGGGCGTGGGGGTGGCGGGCGTGGCGGGCGGCGAGCGTGACGGCGCCCGTGCCCCCCTGGTGCCGCGCCGCCCCGCCCCGCTGCCCCCGTGGTGCCGTGCCCCCTCCTGTAGCGGCGGAGTGCGGCAAGTGGCGAGGGTGGAGGCGGAGGTCGTCTCCGCCCTTCCACTCTGAGCCCCCCGGCGGCCGCCGCCACCGCGCCCGAGCTCCTCGTCGTCGTCTTCAACCTGGGGCCGTTGGTCTCTCTCTCTCTCTCTCACCCCTCTCTCTCGGGCCGTCGGGAGGTCGGCGCGCACGGCGGCGGGTCGACATGGCCGTGGCCACCGTCATCGCCGCGACCGCGCCCGAGCTCGCAGTCGTCGTCTTCAACCTCCAACCTCATCCGCCCCTCTTTGGAGGCCGCCGGTAAGTATTCGCCGCCCTTCTCCTTGCTCGGCTCTCCCGACGGTACCAGAGAGAGAGAGAGAGAGAGAGACGACCGCCGTCTCGATTCAATGTCCTCGGCCACCCGCCGCCCGTCTCGCCCTCCCCACCGCGCCCTCCTCGGGGAGGACTCGTCGCCCGCCGCTTGCCTGAGCCGAGAGAGAGAGAGAGGGAAGACGATGACGACGTAGGCCGCATCCTCCAATGCCCTCCTCGGCGCCTCCCGTCACCCGTCGTGCCATTCCCGTGCTCTGCCGTCGCCCCCCGCACGTCGACCACCCGTCCGCGCGCCGCTGCCGCCGCCCACTGCCCGTCGACACACGCCTGAGAGAGAGGAGGTGGAGGGAGAAGAGAGATAATGACAGGTGGGCCCTATATTTTCTTTTTTTTTTGCTGATTGAATTTCCACGTCAGCGACACGTGTATGCCACGTAAGAGAAAAACCGTTTAGGATTGAGTCGAGGGGGTAATTCATTCGGTATCAATAGTTCGAGGTGTAATATGTCTGGTTTTGTGATTCGGGGGGTAATTCATACTGTCACAATAGTTCGGAGGGGGGTAATTCGTACTTTTTCCTATTTTTTATAGTTAACTATTGTATGAATGGACTATTAGATTAGCTATAAATGATTTGGAGCTAATATTTGGCTATACTATTAAACTTGCTCTTAGAATTAAAAAAGAAATGTACTCCATTATCATGTATTGACTGAGCTAGAGCTAATTAAGACCAATTCCTCGGTCTACGGCTGTAATTAAGTGGCCTGTCAGATGTGTAGAGAACATGCATGCTCCGCCATATAAACCCGGAGCAGATCGAGTGTCGGAAGATGAGTAGAATAATAAATGTCATGTTGTAAAAGTATATGCCCCCACCCTCGCCGCCGCCATCCTCAGGCTCCACTTCCACGACTGCTTCGTCAGGGTATTATACATAGATGACTTATATATATAGTAGTTTTCTTCTGCTCTAATACTAGCTACTCCGTATATGCTGATCTGAATGCATGGATTGGGATTGCAGGGTTGCGACGCCTCCGTGCTGCTGAGCTCCACCCACGGCGTCGGCGGCAACAACATGGCCGAGCGGGACGCACCACCCAACCGGAGCCTGCGCGGCTTCGTCTCCGTCCAAAGGGTCAAGTCCAGGCTCGAGGCCGCCTGCCCCTCCACCGTCTCCTGCGCCGACATCCTCGCCCTCATGGCCCGTGACGCTGTCCTCCTCGCCAGTGGACCCTACTGGCCCGTTCCGCTCGGCCGGAGGGACGGCCGCGTCTCCTGCGCCGCTGAGGTTATGTCTCCATCCAATATCGTTTAGAAATTTAAATATTCACTTATGCATATTTATCCGAGACCTTATAATACATTTTTAGACATCCAAACGACCTTAAATAAATAGTCATCAACTACAAAGCAGCTTTGTAAATCTTGTCAAGCTCTAAAAATTTGATATAAAATTTATCTTTCATCCGACTTTATATGAAAAAGTTAGATAAAAACACACATATATAAGCCGTGTCATTATAGGTGCGGGTTTTTTTTTAAAGGAGCACCTATATATGGACTTATAAGTGCTAGTTTTCATTAAGAACGGGCACATATATGATATATGATGTGATGTCTATATGTTTCGGTTCACAATAAAAACCAGTATCTATGACAACGTACTTATAGATGTCGGTTTATTATAAGAACCGGTACATATATATGTGATGTTCATAGGTACCGATCTGTTATAAGAACCGATACCTATGACTTGGGAGGACAATTGGCATTGGTTTTTGTTATAAACCATTACCAATGAATGGTTATAGGTACCGATTCTTAATTTTATACTTAAAAAATAAAAAGAAATAATTTCATTGATGTCGGTTTTAGGCAAATCGATATTTATAAGGCCGGATGCATGCAGTTTGTAAACACAACAACTTGGATCAGTGTAGTATATAGTTTCAGCAACTTGTCCAAGCGTAGATCTTGTTCATCATGCGATTGATTTAAAAAGAAAATTAAGCACGTAATGGATCATCAATTAATTTTTGTGTTGCTAATTGACACATTGTTTATCCGTAAGAACGTTGAGAGACATGCATGCATGCATCCGGGGTAGCCCTTATTGGTGCTGGTGCATGTGTATATTGACTTGAAAGAGAGAGATCGATTTAGCGGCGGTCAAGTCAATTAATTGGCACTAGTATAGATCTTACATCTGTGATGGCCCATAACAAGACTGGAATTTACGGGCCGTCACAAGGAAGTAATCTCAATCGGGCCGAAGTTTCGCCCGATTGAGATATGGTCGCACAGGCATGGTATATCGGCATAAAAATAAAGCCCGTCACGGATGACACTTATCTGTAGTTGAGGCCCGATTGAGATGAGGGTTCCATATCTCAATCGGGCCCTAAAAGAAGCCCGTCACAGATGAGGGTCATCTGTGACGGGCTCCAACTAGAGACCCGATTGAGATAAGTGTAGTGCCCGTCACAGATGACACTCTTTTTTTACGGCCTTTTATTAAGGCCCGATAGAGATTACTTGTATGCCCGTCACGGTTGATTGTTTTAGGGCCGTTACAGATATTTGTTGCACAGTATAAATACCCCCCACCACCTAGTGTAACTGTATCCCACTGTTCACTATTTTGGTGGGAGGCTGTAGGGGGCGATTTTTTGTCCTTTTTCCAAGGAAAACAGAAACTAAATTTCTGTAGGTGATCAAAATGGATCAATCAAGTGAGTAATATTAATAATTAATTGAGCAATTTCATCACGTCTTACTTTTGCAATAATGATCTTATAATATGTGCCTCTAATTTGTTTTTTTTATTTTGTAGCAATTGATCGAAGTTGGATGTATGCGAAAAATTTGAAACGTCATTCTACGGAGTACAGAAAGGGCGTAATAAATTTTATGAACGCCGCGGAGGAGGATCGGATAAGAAGAAACAGTGATTACATGTGTTGTCCATGTGCAGATTGCAAGAATGAGAATATATTTGATAGCGGAGAGGACGTACACGGTCATCTGATACAACGAGGATTCATGGAGGGCTATACATGTTGGGTGAAGCATGGAGAGCAAGAATCAGGAAGTGGAGCAGCAGCAGACAGAAGTGGTGCGCATAATCAGGAAGATGAAGATGAGCATGACATGTTTATACCTTCTCCATTGGGTGGTGAAATGGTTAATGTGGATCACGATCTGCTGCAAGACATGTTACGTAACATTGAGGACCTAGCCCAGAATGAGAGAGATGGAATGAAGTTCAGCAGGTTGGTAAGTGATTTCGAGACGCCTCTGTACGCTGGATGCAAAGCAAAACACACTTAGTTGTCAGTTACCTTGGACCTAATGAAACTGAAGGCAAGTAGTGGATGGACAGACAAGAGTTTCACAGATCTTTTAGGAATTTTGAAGGCTATGCTTCCTGTTGAGAACACATTGCCCGAGACGACATACGAAGCAAAGCAGGTTCTGTGTCCACTGGGGTTAGAGGTCCGTAGAATTCACGCTTGTCCCAACGACTGCATATTGTACCACAAGCAATATGCGGACTTGGATGCTTGTCCTGTCTGCAAGGCTTCTCGATACAAGCGAAAGAAAAGTGCTGACGAAGGAAATAAGTCAAAGAGGGGTGGTCCGGCAAAGGTTGTGTGGTATCTACCTATCATTGATCATTTCAAGAGAATCTTTGCCAACCCGAACGAAGCGAAGTTAGTACGTTGGCACGCCACGAAGAGAAGGAATGACGGTATGCTTAGACACCCAACGGATTCGATTGAATGGAGGAATATCGATCGAAAACACAAAGACTTTGCTGCCGACCCTAGAAACATGAGGATATGTCTGTGTACGGATGGCATGAATCCTTTCGGTGATATGAGTAGTACTCACAGCACTTGGCCAGTTCTTATTGCAAACTATAACCTTCCACCATGGTTATGCTTTAAACGGAAATATATTATGTTGTGCTTGTTAATCCAAGGTCCAAAGCAACCCGGCAATGATATGGATGTATTCCTGGAGCCTGTTATCGATGATCTGGAGATTCTTTGGAAAGAAGGTGTGGAAACTTGGGATGCATATGGTCAGGAGAACTTCAAGCTAAGAGTTCTATTGTTCTGCACCATTAATGACTACCCTGCACTCGGTAATCTTTCCGGACAAACTATAAAAGGAAAGAAGGCATGCTCCGATTGCAAGGAACATACACGAAGCCGGTGGCTAAAGAAATCACGAAAGATGGTGTACATGGGTCACCGGAGGTGGCTCCTGCTACGTCATGCATTTAGAAGAAAGAAGAAAATTTTTAACGGTAAGAGAGAATTTCAGCCTGCTCCCAAAGATTTGTCCGGAGATGAGATCCACAATATGGTCAATGACATAAGCAATGAGTTTGGGAAGAAAAGAAAACGTAGCAAGACAAAGGAGAAGGGTATGTGGAAGAAAAAATCCATATTTTGGCGGCTACCTTACTGGAAAGATCTTGATGTCCGTCATTGCATTGATCTCATGCATGTAGAAAAGAATGTGTGTGAGAGTTTGGTTGGCCTGATGCTGAATATTCCCGGGAAGACAAAGGACGGGTTGAACGCGCGCCTTGATCTATAGGACATGAATATTCGCAGTGAACTCCAGCCCATACGAGATGCAGAGACAGGTAAAGTGTACCTCCCTCCAGCCTGCCACACACTGTCGAAAGATGAGAAGATCGCAATGTTATCATGCTTGAAGGATATTAAAGTTTCATCGGGCTATTCAGCGAGGATAAGTAAGTATGTTAAATTGGACGATCTAAAACTTGTTGGAATGAAGTCTCACGATTGCCACGTGCTAATCACACAAATCTTGCCAGTTGCTATCAGAGGCATTCTACCACCGAAAGTGTGTCACACGATCCAACGTCTGTGCGCCTTCTTCAATGCAATTGGACAGAAGGTTATAGATCCAGAAGATCTAGATGGGCTGCAGACCGATATTGTGAATACCCTCTGTCACCTGGAGATGTTTTTCCCACTATCTTTCTTTGATATAATGGTTCATCTCCCTGTTCATCTGGTGAAGCAAACAAAACTATGTGGCCCGGCTTTTCTAAGGGAAATGTGGCCGTTTGAAAGGTACATAGGAGTTCTGAAGTCGTACGTTCGTAACAGAGCTAAACCCGAGAGGAGCATCATTGAAGGTTACACGACCGAGGAGGCTATTGAGTTCTGTGTCAATTACATGTCCGATGCCGATCCTATCGGAGTTCCCGCGTCTCGTCACGAGGGAAGGTTGTCAGGTGTTGGCACAATCAGAAGGAAAAGAATTAGGCCCGATCAAGCGTCGTACGCGCAGGCTCATTACGCTGTCCTCCAACATATGGCAGAAGTTGGCCCATACTTTCAGGAGCACTTAGCGAAAATCCGAGATGAGAACTCGGGGCGATCTGATGCATGGATTAACAGAGAACATAATTCTCGGTTCAACGAATGGTTCAAGAATCGTGTGACAATGTCCTCGGATGTCCCAAATGAGACAGTACAGTTGTTGGGGATGGGATCGTCTTGGACCGTAGACACATGGCAAGGATACGATATAAATGGATACACATTTTACACCGTCAAACAAGATGACAAAAGCACAGTGCAAAATAGCGGCGTCCGTATAGATGCATTCCAGGATCAAGTTGGGTCAAACACATACTACGGCCGCATTGAGGAGATATGGGAGCTAAACTACGTCAAGTTCAAGGTTCCTTTGTTCCGCTGCCGTTGGGTGAATCTACGCACTAGTGTCAAAGCCGACAAGGAAGGTTTCACTTTAGTAGATCTATCTAAGGTGGGATACGCCGATGAACCATTTGTACTTGCGAAACAGGTCGAGCAGATATTCTACATAAAAGACCCTTCAAACAAGAAGATGCACATCGTGAGGGATGGAAAGCGCCGAATTGTAGGAGTTGACAACGTCGTCGATGAAGAAGAATACAACCATAATCTTCATGTAAGACCTCACATTGACCTTGATGATGATCCCCAAGAGCCTGTGGCATATGCTCGTTCAGATCATACGGAAGGCATAACCTTGTGACTGATGCATTTGTACTTATCTATTGAAATGAATGAAGTATTTTGTTTTATTGCAAAGACTTGATATGTGTAGTCATTAATATGGCTATTTTTGTTTTAGTACAAATGACCAAAATAAAAGTTGTAGATCCTGATGAGAGGATCAACTCTGTTGTTGATCAACTCTCTACATATTTTCGGAAATATGGCGACGCCCTCCACCGAGCCCGGCGCCGCCGCCACCGAGCCCCACCGACCGTCCTCA